TTTAGGAAGTGAGTTTGCATTTTAGAAAAGAATAGGGAAATAAAAATCAAGTTATCTTTGGCACCCAACTTTGCCAAAAAAAAAAAAAAAAAAAAACCTGCAAGAAAGAAGTGGAGAGGGAGATGGAGAGGCTGCTGGATTCATTCTGGTGAGACGGAGTTGGGGAGACTTCTGGATTCACTCTGGCTTCTCCCAGAAATCATCTTCAAAAGAAATGAAGTGCATAAGGCAGGAACATCTTGGCTTGTTTTCAGACTTTGACAAAGCAACAGAACACAGCAAAACTTTTTTTATTTAGAGAAGAACATATTCAACATTTTCTCGAGTTTTGTGAAAGGCTGAAGTGGCAATCACAGGACACCCAAGGACAAACATGTAAAGATTTATAGAATTTCCTGGCGTCTTACTAATCATTCCACACTCTCTCACAAGTTATAATACTCTGAGAAATTCTATTTTGGAGGAGAAGTGTCAGCAGAAGAAATGACAGTAAATCACTGAATCCAGTTCTTTCTTCATGGCCCCAACTTCTTAGTACTCTTGACCCCCTAACAGTTAGGCCATCTGGCTGACATCTCAGCATAAGAAATGATGGGCTGGAAACAGTTGGCCTCTGACTCTCCCCATCTGAGGGTAACACTAGTCTCCCATATCTAATGAGCAGTTTGAGTGCTTGCTAATGCATATATGCCCACTTCTACAAATATAATTTTTCTTGGTTTTTATTTCTGATACACTTATATTTCTGATCTATGAACATTCATGCTTGTAGTTACATAAAAATCTAGACTGCAGTGTTTGTGTGTATTTATTATTGATTTAAACATCACAATACTTTTCAGTAAAGATGGGATTCATTTAAAATTCAGGTTTTGAAGTCATAGTGAGGAGGGCTTGGATCCTTACTTTGTTGCTTACTAAGTATACATCCTGAGAAAATTGAATTAAATAAAAGTGTATGCTCAAAGGCAAACACATAGGATAAATAAAACATCCACAAATGGTAATTAATGATAGTTAAATTTGGTATTAAATCTGGAAAAACTGATACTAATCTATGAAACAACATGATTTCCCTCCATTTTCCTATATTATGGTGATTTCCAGGAGAAAAAGATCCTGCAGCAAAAGCCTATAGATCATTCATTTGGCACAGTGGGAAAAGCCCGGAGTATCAGTTGGGAGAAGAGAAAACTGAGGTTTTGAAGCCACATATGCTCTCTAGACTCCATACCTTTCAATTTGACCTAAACCTTAGGATAGAAGGTGGAGTTAGGATTCTAGGAAGCAGGGCAGGAGGGGCACTATAGACACAGGGCTCCTGTTCAACAGAAGTCCTTTTTGAAGATGTGTGTAGGATAGAAGAAGAGAAAGAGAGCAAAAGGGAAGACTAGAAGCAGACATCTTCTGAACTGCTATAGCAGTGACCCAGACAAGGAGTCAAGGGACATTGAGACAGAAATAGAAGAAGGGGGAAGGGCTGAGGACATGCATGGTGGTGGGCAAAGGACATTCTGTCGTGTCTTCAGAGTTGCTGACTGCAGAGCTTGGAACAGGAGTGCTGTCTTAACTTGTTTTGTGCTGCTACAACAGAACATCATGGGAAATTTATAAAGAGGAGAATTTACTGGCCTTGTGTTTCTGAGTGCTAAATATCCAAGAGTACCACAGTCATACTGTTCAGCATCTGGTAAGGGCCTGCAGCCCATTGTGGAAGGTAAAGGAGCCCGAGAACATGCAAGAGTCAGAGGACCCAGCTCACTTCTATTTATACTTAAACATGTTTATTACTTATCTATTTGCTTATTTTTGACACAGGGTAGCTATAGCCCATGTTGGCCTCAAAAAAACTACCTTATGTAGTCGGGGATGACTTTGAATTTCTGAGCCTCCTGCTCCCACTCTCTAGAGCCAGTTCAACATCTAATCCTATTCCTACACTAGCTAGCCTACTCCCACAGTAAGTAATAGAATTGATCCATTCCTGAGGGCTCTGTCCTCATGATCTAACCACCTAGGACTTCTCTATAGTACTGTAGTACTGAGAATTTAGATCTATATTAAATGATGAACATGAACTTGAGGGAGATGCATTCAAGCCATAGAAGGTACTATTGATCAAGACGGAGGGGTCAGTAGTAGAAACTCTTTTCTTGATGAGGTAATCCACTTCTCTGGGACATCTTGGCTCTTTCTTTCTTTCTTTCTTTCTTTCTTTCTTTCTTTCTTTCTTTCTTTCTTTTTCTTTCTTTCTTTTTACTTCAATTCACTTATTCATTCATCAGAGACCCCACATGAGCACTGGATGTGTGTCTGGCAATACTATGCCAAGCTCTGTGATACTAGGGGAATAGAAAGTTACATCCTGTCCTCAACCCAGTGGGAAGAAGGTGACAAATAACAGGCAATTACAATACAAGGTGAGTAGTGTTAAGATTGAGGCCCACCAAGGACACCAAGAAAACATAGAGGAGGGGCATCTAACCAGACTGGGGGACGGGGTAGAGAAATGAGGTAATGTCTCAGTTGAGTCATGAAGGATGGCCAGGGTGAGCAAGAGTGGAGAGAAGGACATTTCATGGAGAGCAGTAGCAGGTTCAAAGGCCCAGAGGCAAGGAATTGAATAGTGTGATCCCTGCCAAGTTCTTAGGTATGACTGGAATGTAGAATGCAAGAAGGGGCGATGGCATGGATGATGTTAGAAGGATGAACAAGGGGGACACACATATGCTGTTCTAAGGGAATTTTCAAGTGTAAAGTGATAGGATCCGATTTGAGACTCAGGAAGGTAACTTTAGCATAGCAGTATGGGTGGGGTCCAAACTGGAGTACAGTCAGTCCTTGTGGTAAACAGAATCGGCCCATTGTCTTCATTATAGGGGCTTAGACTTGAACAGCTATTGGAATAAAATAACAGACAGATTCCAGTGGAATGAAGAAGGTGTCATCAGCTACACTGATAACTGATTGGGTAGTGGTGAGGGAGGAGAATGGATATCTAAATATCAAGAATTTCTGGTTTGGAAATAGGGATGAGAGGAATGAGTGATTTTATTTAATTTTTTTCTAGTAGGAAGAGGATTGAGTGTTAGTTAGGTATGCATAGTCATAGCAACTGATGCTTTAAGTTTTCATAACTATTAGTTGAATGCTTTTGAAGCACTTTTAACCTCTTTTTGAAGCATTTTATCCTCTTAACTTTTTCTTAAGTGACAATGAATGTTTAAGTATCTAATGATATTGTGAATAAAAATAAGATGTGATCCCAGTTCTCAAATAGTTCAAGGTTTACAGCCTTGTTTGAGAAACGGTTACTGTTTGCAGTTGATTGTATCTTATTCAAATGCTTCAGATCAGAGTTTCAGATTTCAAACATTCTTTGGCCTGTGACTCCATAAGTAGCGTGTGTGTGTGTGTGTGTGTGTGTGTGTAGAGAGAGAGAGAGAGAGAGAGAGAGAGAGAGAGAGAGAGAGGGATGAGATTCAGATAGGGCCCAACTATAAACATGAATCAAACTTATGTCTTATCTATACTTTATCACATAGTTTGAAGATAATTTCACTCAATTTTAGTAGTTCACAAGTGCTTTTGTCTGACTCGTCACATGAAGTCAAATGTACATTTTTTTTTTTTACTTCTGATGCCATATTAGTGTTAGAAAAATCTTTGGACTTTGTTGTTTTGGATTAGAAATGTTCAAGCTATATGTATATAAGGGCCAAATTAGTGGCAAAATATTCAATGGGTGTGACCACCAGGATTGAGTGGTCCAGAAAGGTGTGAAGGGAAGAGTTGGAATCCCAAAGTGAATGATGAACCTAAGCAAGCAGAAGAGAGTCATTCCAGACCTTGGACAGTGGGTATCTCAGCCTGCTTCTTGGGCATGACCTCCATCCCAACTACATTGTGGTACACATACAATCCTAATGCTATGACCATTCAAGGTAGCTGCATGCCTGTAACTAAAGAAGCTGAGACTCAGGAGGTTTGGTGTGATGGCACAGATACAAAAGGGTGGAAGAATCGGGGTTCAACACCAGAAAAGCTTGGCTCCAAGCTGGTGCCCTTTCCACAGCCCTATACATGGCTTGTCTCTGATAAAGGCACCTGCACCTCCCACTTAGCACTGTTTCTGGGGACAAGCCTCTTTCCCCAAAGCTGAAGGAGCAAATCTTCAGCTAGGGCTTTCCACTTAGTGTGGTTCTTCCAGGAAGTTCCCATGTGTATCCATCATTAGTTCTAGCAATTCTCAGGGAGGAAGAAGCAGCCAGCATTAGCATCACTATCAGCATCATCTTGGAACTTGTCAGAAATGCAACAAAATTTCAGGCCATTCCTCATGCCGGACTCCTGAATCAAACCCAAAATTTACCTTAAGAAAGTTTTCTTGGTGATCCCATCCCAAAATTCTCATTCCATTCTGTGGGTAAAAATCAAAATTCAAGTTTGCCATGTGACTGGCCCCTCAACGTTGCAATTTGCAAATGGGAAGAAAGACCTAGAGTTATCCCTAAAAAATCCCATCCTGAGTTGCAGCAGCCTGAGAGCAGCATCTGAGGTGTGAATAAGCTCCAACTCTGGGGCTCTGTGTAGCTCCTAATGAAGATCATCCCTCTGGACTTGAGACATATGTTGTGATGTTTTGCTTTTTGCAAATTTTGTACCTGGGCCAAAACCTAGATAGAGCAAACAGTCTCTGTCCCAAGCAAATTCCCAGAGATGTCAAGATATAAACCTTACAGAAACTGTCCGGATCAGTGGTTCTAAACCTTCCTAATGCTGCAACCCTTTAACATAGTTCCTTATATTGTAGTGACCCCAATTATAAAACTATTTGTCCCTATTTCATAATTGTGATCTTGATACTGTTATGAATCGTAAATATCTGATATGCAGGGAATCTGAGTGTGACCCCTGAGGGAGCTGCAACCCCACAGCTGGTCTAGAGTGTTCAAGTAGAACTTCTCATTTTTGGCACCTTTCTTGTTTGATATTGACAGGAGGAAGTGATTGGAGATTTGAAGCCAGGCACTGAATATCGAGTGAGCATAGCTGCTTACAGCCAGACTGGCAAAGGGAGGCTTAGCTTTCCTCGGCATGTGACCACTTTGTCTCAAGGTAAAACTAAGCTTAAATTAATTATTAATGGAAAAAGGCTTCCATTTACTTATGCATTCATTCAGCAAACAACATGTGCCAAATACTGTCTTGGGCTCTGAGAGGCTAGTGGTGACCACAGTAAGCATGCCTCTGATTTCTCAGAACTCATCGGGGTAAGGCAAGACATTGGCTAAATAGCATATAGTAACAGATCCTTTTAAATGTGGTACCCACAGGCTGCAGGGACTTACCACATAGGGATGCAGGAAGAATTCATTGAGACAATAAAAAGGAAGACTCATGGGTGAGTAGAAATCAAGACAGTGAGGAAGGGGAGAGAGAAGAAACATTCAGCAACAGTTCATCCATGTGATGCAGAGGTGGACGCTGGAATACAACACTGGGTCCACTGGGGTTACTGTTCACAATGTGCTCTCTATTGAGAAGTGACATTAATCAGTCTCCACCCTGTGTTATAGAAAGTGCTTAGAATGGTGGAAAGTCCTCCAGGCCTAAACAATAGCATACATAAAACTTGAAGGTATGGAAGTCTGGACATGTAGACAGTAGTATTACCAGGTGATGGGATCCTTTTTACACCTGGGGTGCGCACCCCACATGTCCTATCACAGGTTCTTAGCACACACACAAAGCACACAATTACAACGTGGAAAGAGATGAGTGATTGATAGGAGATGGAGTGTGGCAGAAGATACTAGGGATGCACACAATGTGTCTCAGAGTTATTGGAGCCAACTGAGTTGCTTGCCAGCCAGCCAGAGGTTCTGGGTAAAGAAGACAAAATTTCAGTGAATCCATTGTTATTACATAGTGAAAGCATCTGTGGGTTGTTTTGTTTGTTTTGCCTTGGGTTTTGAGGCCATACCAAATTTCAGTAGTAGAATGTGCATCTGTTTTTGATGTATCCAACCTCTCCATCAGTGGAGACCACCAGCCAAGTCTAGCTGTGTTTGTCATCCTGCCTAGATTACTGCCTGCCCCCTGATGCACCCCAGCAGCCACATGTCCTTGTGGTTTCTGATTCTGAAGTGGCCCTCTCTTGGAAACCTGGAGAAAATGAGGGAAGTGCCCCAATTCAGTCCTACTCTGTGGAGTTCATCAGGTGAGTCACAGGTCAAATCACAGACCACAGTTACTCCCCATATGGTATTATACAGGGCATGGATCTTTATCTGACTTCAGTCAATGTGGGTTAAGGTGGCACAAAGTCTTGAGGAAAAAGTTTGCAATTGGGTCAACATATATCTTTGATGAATAGTCATTGGCAACACTGTCCCCTTACATCTTTTGCTGCCAGTCTTCTGAGTTCTGGAAATTCTTTATGCAATGTTACCAGCAAGCTGGCCTGCATTTCAAGCTTGAAACTTGCCCTTTTGACTTTAAAGTATTGCATTTGAAGTAAATATTTGATGGCTTTTCTCAGAGGGAGAGGGAGGAACTCTTCATATACAAACACCATGCACTGTGCCCTCCAGATCCATATTACCTTGGGGCAAATTTCAGAGTTTGAGTTCAACTTTCTTCCCTTCTATCTATATCTTAAGTTCTTGTTATTCAGTTTGATGGGCTGTGGAAATTCATATAGAACTCATGATTGCCTATGCTGCAGTGCAATTTTATTTATTTCTTTAAAGAAGAAATGGTGAACAAAAGAATTCCCAATGCAAGGTCTTCGGCCTGAATTTGAGTCTCCATTTGACTCTGGGTGGAAGCTGAGTGAAAGGAGGTGGTGGGTCCTACATTAAAGATGAGAGGCTCCTCTGAGGCCTTGATGTTGTGGATTCATAAAGAGATCAGCAGGACCTTATTCCTCAGGCTTTCTGAACCTGGGCCAAAGGGTCCTGTCAAGATCTGATGAGTTGTTTTTTTGTTCTGACCTCCCAGTTTATTCCTGGGCTGTGGGAAACAGACATTTATGTCTTCAGATCTTGTTTTCAGGCAGGGCTTGCTGAATTCCAAGTGGTAGAAACTTGAAAAAGATTGAAACAATATTGTATCAACATCCATGACTGCAAAGTCCAGTGGCAAGTCTGAATTCAGAGAGCACTAGATCTATGCCTTCTCAGCAGTCTGTGACCATCCATTTCTCTGCTTCATTGATTCATTTTCCAGCAGGCTTTCCCACACCCTTAAGCTTTGTGGTCTCCAAGCTTAGCAAGAGAGTATGGTATTCTTGGGCCCAGCAAAAATTTTATGTGCATTCTGACTAGCCAAGTCTGGGTCCTTTTTCATTTTCCTAGCTCATCATGGAGGCCAGGGTAGAATAACCAAGCACTGGTCATCCTGTAAGCTCTGAAAGCAACCATTCATGGTGGTGGTGGTGGTGGTGGTGGTGGTGGTGGTGGTGGTGGTGGTGGTGGTGGTGGTGGTGGTG